TCCTCCTCACCTTCAGCCCTGACAGCAGGGCGTCTTCGCACTCTTCCTCCCCGAAAAGGAGGATCCTCTCTTCCAGCTCGCCGGATGTCAGCAGCTGGCCTTGCTCTTGGGGGCATCGGTGTAGTTAGAGCCCTCAGCGACCACCTTGGTCACCGTGGTAATGCCTCTCTCTCTTCTTTGCTCCCTTGTTCACCCCGTAGTAAGCCGGATCTAACTTCCAGCTCCTGACAGGACCTTGCCAATAGCGTGGTGCTGGCCTCGGCTTAGGCTTGGCAACTGGTAACCTCTTGGGTCGTTTGGGTGGCGACTTCGAAGGGGTTCGAGGTGGCCTGACACTTGGTTTGGCCTTCCGCTCCTTCTCAACCGGACCTTCCTCCCGAGGTGGCTTGCGACGTTCCACCGATGTAGATGGCCTCCTTCGCCTCCTAGCGTCCCGGCTTTTGGAATCTCTTCTCCTCCGTCGACTCCGGCTTCTCCTCGATGAGCGTCCCTCCGACAAGTGGTGCTTCCTCTCCTCTTTGGCGGGCCTGGAACTGCTGGAATACTTGCCTTCTTCCTCCTGCGGCTCGTTAACCTCTACCAAACCTGGCTTGGCAGTGCCGGGGCTGCTTCGCTCCTCCTCTTTAGGCTTCACCCAGGTCTTGTCTGCCTTCTCCTCTGGCCGACCTTCCGGCGCTGCCAAACTCCCCGACTTGGGAGCTGCACTCACCTCAGCTTGAGCTTGCTGGCGCTCGGCCTCAGCAACCCTTTCCAACTCCTCCTCGATGATGGCGGTCCAGATCCTGAGGTTCTGTATGCCCCAACCACGGCAGCGCACGGGCAGTGTATCCAAGGCTCGCCAAAACCTGTCCCTAGATCTGCAGAAGACACAGATCGGATCCCCGTCGGAACACTGGATAGTGCACAACCGACAGGGGTGCATTCCCCTTTGAGCCCAAACACTATACAAAAATTCGATTTTCGATCGGTCGTCTTAAAATCCGAGGACGGAAGTACATATGTGTGTGTGTGAGCAACAGGACCCAATTCCAAACGATTCAAGCAGCCAATGGATTCTCCAGATCACATCTGTGCTTCTTTTTCTTGATCGCCGACGCTGAATCGTTCCCAAGGGTGCCGCCCAAGAAGAACTGCTACTTGTGTATTTCCAGATGATGATTGTGGTGATTCCCATAATAACTCAGATCTGGTCTGATTAGGATGTGTCATCAATCTTGGATCATTTCTCCCAGCTTGCATCAGCTTGACCACCATAAACATATGCCACCTGGAGCATGTTCAGACTTTGCGTTGCGGGAAGATCAGAACACCCTGCTGCTTCAAAGATGGTGGATCATAAACTACAAATCGTCTGCTGAAAAGTGAAACAATATCATAGGATGCGCTGTAGCACTCCATTGATCTGATGTTCTAGAATGCAATGGCCTGTATCAATCACCCGCGGTACAGTAGCTTCCTACCATTTCTATCATTTCAGGGTGTCTCACCACGTCCTTCCCCACTGGCTCTCCCTCGGACGTTTTTCTCCACCAGTTCAAGAGTTGCCGAGCGTGAAGAAGAAGCTCTCTCCTGCTCGGCCGAAGCACGGGGGAGGGAGCTTCCTTCGCCGCAGACTTGAGAAATTGAAAAATTACTTTACTTCGAAATTCCCCACCCTCAAAGAATTGGTCTTCACAAGAGAAAAGCGGTTCGGCGCGAAAAGGATTCTTTATTGAAAACAAAACCACACATCGAATACTTACTTGTGAGGTTTCTGAACTTCGATATTTTAATGCCTGGCAACCCCGCATCCCTGCCAAGTCAACTTGTGGTGGATATGCTGTGGAACTGGTACTTGGGAGCACTCTGGTGAATGTGCTGGTGTAAAGGCTACGCTGGGCTACTCGGGGCCACTCTGGTGGATATGCTGTGTAAGGGCTACTCTGGGCCACTGTGGGCCACTCTGGTGGATGTGCTGTGTTCTTTGGGTTGCTCTGAGCTACGCTGGGACCACTCTGGCGGATGTGCAGAAGTAGCGAGTCTACTGAAGTCCAAAGTTCTTAAAATCTAACAGCCCCACAGTCCTACGGGTGGGGAAAAAACTGCTTTGATAAGTACATTACAAGTCTACAACTATCCTGCGATCTCTTTGGTAAATGTGCTGTGGAGAAGCTAAGTTGCGCTACTAAAAACTGTGGTTGCTGTGGACAAGCTAAGTTGAACTACTTAGAAATCAGTTTGTGAATGTGCTGTGGAAGAGCTAGGCAGCTAGGTTTAGCTACTCAGGGATCAGTTTGGTGAATGTGGTGTGAATACTCAGAGGTCATTTTGGTGAATGTGCTGTGGAAGTGCTACGTTGAATTACTCAGGGATTACTTTGGTGAACAGGGATCAGTTTGGCGAGCGTGCTGTGAAGGAGCCACTTTGGGCTACTCAGAGATCACCTTGGTGAACGTGCTGTGGAAAAGCTAGCTTGAATACTCAGGGATCACTCTGGGGAACGTGCTGTGGAAGAGCTACTTTGGGCTACTCCGGGATCTCTTTGGTGAACATGCTGTGGAAGTGCTGCGTTGAACTACTCAGGGATCACTTTGGTGAGTGTGCTATGGAAGAACTGCTTTGGGCTACTCAGGGATTACTTTGGCGAGTGTGGTGTGGAAGAGCTA